GCTTCACACTATCGCTCGGCGCCATGTCGACGAAGACCGCCTTCGTCCCCATCAGGTGGTGGGAGCAACCGCTGTCGAGCAGGACTGCCATCGGGTTTGCCTGCACAGCTGCCGCCACCGCCTGGAAGTCCTCGCCAGCCTCCGGCGCCAGCGAGACTGTCGGCTCCACTACGCCGACCATCGAGCACGACGCCTCCCCGTCGCCTCGGCCCTTGCCGCTGGAGTGGTCGACGTCCTTCATCGACGACGTCTTCTTCGACGTCTGCTTCTCCTTGCGCGGCTTCGCATCTTGACGGGGGCGACGACTGGCCGATCGACCGCGGCCTCCCTTGTTGTCGTCCTCGTCGCTGTCGTCGCGTTCGGGGCACTCGTAGGAGAGATGGTCGGGGTCATGGCAGATCCAGCACTCCCGCCGTCGACCACCACCTCCTCGGCCCTTGTCCCGCGTCGAACTCTTCTCGTCGACGTCCTTCTTCGACCGCCCACTTCCGCTACCACCTCCGCCCGGCTTCCCGCGCTGCTCCTGCTGACGAGTCGGCTTCGTCGGTGTAGCGTAACTTGCCTGCGGAAAGAGCTCCGTGGGCTGTTCTGCCTCCTGCATCGCCTCATCTTGGGGGATGTAGCTGGTGAGGGAGTCCTCATCGAGGGACTCACGAGTGCCGGGCACCATCGTCATCCTCTTCATGAGGTTGTAGCTGCGCGGCATGCCCTTGAGTATTCGGCGATGTAGGACGGCGTAGAGTATTTTGCGCCCGCCATCTGCATCTTAGCCAGGATCCGTCGAGCACGGTTGCAGTAGTCCGTCGCCGACTCCTGCTCGCCCATGCGAATGTGTGTCATCTTCTCCTCCAACTGTCCGATGTACAGGTCGTCCTTCACCCGGTACGTCGACAGGATGAAGTGCCATGCTTGATGACCAGCGTCCAGTCGCTCACGACATGACCTGAGCGCTAGCTGCACCACCGGCGAGCAGCACCTCGAGATGACCATGAAGGTGAGCAAGTGAGCAGCACGAAACTCCCCGCGCAGCTCGACATCGTCCACGGGCGAAATTGGCACGGTGCCGTCGGCGAAGCCCTTCAACCCGGCGACCTCCAGCTGAGGTTCTATCGACTCCCTCCAGGTGATAAGGTCATGTTGACCTTGCATAGGTAGGACGGTGATCCGGTCCGGCGAAAACTTGAAGTAGCCATACGCCGGTGCGATCCCGCCTGCCGTCACGTGCGTCGTCGCCGAGAGCCCTCCACCGCTTCGTAGAGGAGAGCGACGTCGACCATCGATGTCGGCACGTGAGCTGTCTGCAGCCGCCGTCGACCGCTGCACTCGCGCCTGACTCCTATCGACGCCACCGTCGACCTTGATCACCCCTCTCTGCTTCGTGCAATCGTTGCCGTTGACTCGCGCACCGCCGTCAACCTCATCGTCGACGCCACCTTCGTTCCGCACCGGTCGAGGAGATACAGGACAGGAAGGGTGTTCCGTCGCCCACTGCGCTCGGATGCCCAACTCAGCGATCGCCCAAGGGATCGACCCGTACTTGCCATCCGCGTGGCGTTTCCTCGCATCAGCCAATCGTGCCTCCAAGGTGTCCGCTACGCCCGCTTCTACAACGGGGTCGACCATGGCGACTAACGCGGCTGCCGGCCTACGAACGACTTAGTAGGTGCAAAAGTCGGCTCCTATCTGAAGGTAATCTGCGGGGCCGTCCACGCTCACCGCACCATGCGGAGAGTCACTCTACAACGGTAGTGAGCTGGACTACGGGGGTTGGCACGAACTACTAGGAGTGATCATAGCTTTGATTAGTTCCTTAGCGCTTGCACATTCACGGGAGAAACTGGCAAGAGTTTCCACTAGGCAAAGATTGCATTACAGAATGATTGAACAAGCAATGACAGGAATGACTACATCAAGCACCTAGCAACTCTGCAACTAGCCTGGTCGACTGCCAGCACAGCATGGTCGACCGCGTGCCAGCGTTGCGTAGAGGAGCCGCGCCAGCACTGCAGAAGAGCGACCAGCCAACGCAGCAGGTCGACGGCGTGCCAACGCTGCAGCAGGGTGGCTGTCCAACGTTGCCCCGTAGAGCACAGCATTGCGCACGCTTGCAGGTGCGCGCAGACGATTGGCCCGACTTGCATCGTTGTGCATCCGTCGGCTGTTGTCTGCGCCTGACGAGCCACATCGACTTCGGGTACCAGCCCGAAGTCGCCTTCGTCACCGCGACCTCAACGAAGTTCGCGTGCCCCCGCAGAACTCGCCGAGCAGGTTACCCAATCGACCTGGTCGACCACCAAGTGCTCTGGTCGACCACCAGGTGCCTGTGGTCGACCACCAAGTGCTCTGGTCGACCACCAGGTGCCCCTGGTCGACCACAACTCCCGTCGAGCTACCACCTGGTCGATTGGCCCCTCCGTCGACCAGCATTGTCAGCTGTTGTCGCCGAGCTCCTCTCGTCGACCGTTGCTCCCATATCAGGTCGACGGACTGCTCCGTCGACCTCCCGGTCGAACTGCTCCTCCTGGTCGACGGCCCACCCGTCGCCCAGCCCAGTCAGCTGCAGCTGTCGAGCTCCCTGGTCGACGACTCCAGCCTCGTAACTGTCCTGTGCAGGTCGACAGCCACCTTGTCCACCTGCCCCACAGAAGAAGGCCGTCGAGCACTCCTGGTCGACGGCAACACCACAGTGATCCCCTGCAGCTCGACGAAGCCCGTCAAGTAGCTCCTTCACTGCGAACGGTCGGCTGCTTCTCCCGTACATCCGACCAAGACATCGGCGTCGCCCAAGCGAGGGCGGGGCCAACACTCCATTCCCGTTAACAAATTCAACTCCTTCCAAATAACATCTCCATGTTCGTAGCGCAGGCACAACTGCCAACAATTCCTGTTCGGAAGTTGTATAGCGCTGCTCTGCCGGGGAAAGCTTTCTACTCTCAAATGCCACGGGGCGTCCTTCTTGCAAAAGAACTGCGCCAATCTCTACTGTCGAGGCATCAGTTACCACCTCCTAGGGCTTGGACAGGTCTGGCAAGGCCAGCACTGGAGCATTGGTCAGCATGGTTTTCACCTCCTCAAATGCCTTCTGGCATTGACCGGTCTACTGCCAAGCATTACCCTTGCGAGTGAGTGTAGTCAGTGGAGCGACTACTGAGGAATAAGTTTCCAAGAAACGGTGAAAATATTTCGCAAGTCTAAGAAATGATCCGACCTGTCCCACATCCTGCGGAACGGGCCACTGTTGGACTGCCGCCACTTTCTTTGGATCAACTTTTAGGCCATCGTTGCCTACCAAGTGACCAAGGTATTCCAACTCGCGTTTATAGAAGTGACACTTCCACAACCGAGCATAGAATTTATGCTCTCGCAGTTTTCTTAACACCCATTTCAGGTGTTGCGTTTGTTCTTCTTCTGTCTTCAAGTAAACGAGGATGTCATCCAAGTATACCAGGACGAATTGGCCGATTGCCTCCCGAAACACATCATTCATTGGTCGCTGAAATGACGCGGGGGCATTTGTCAAGCCAAAACTTAACACACGCCACTGTAAATGCCCAAACGGCGTTATGAAAGCCGTTTTTGGAACATCTTCTTCGGTGATTCGTAGGTGATGATACCCCTGAGCTAAGTCCAGTGCACTGAACCACTGAGCTCCTTGGAGTCGATCGAACAAATCCTCTATCCTTGGTAAAGGGTACCTGTTCTTCACCGTAATCTTGTTCAAGGCACGATAATCTACGCACATGCGCAATCCTTCGCCCTTCTTGTTAACGAACAAGATCGGTGCTCCGTAAGGGGATGCACTGGGTTCAATCTATCCTTTTCTGAGGTATTCCTCAATCTGGGTACTCAGCTGGACTGAGGCGATACAGATGTCGAAAGGGTGGAACCTTTCCTGGTTCAACAGGGATGGTGTGGCCCACTGCGCGGTCATGTGGAAGTCCATCAGGGATGGCTTTAAAAACTTTCTTGAATTCATCTGCCAGTATTTGCATTTGAGGAGGGAAATCCTCAATTGCTGGCTCCGAGGTCTTGGCATTTTCAAGCTGTACCACGAATAGTGTATCAACCGATTTAACCAAATGCCCGAACTGGTTGGCCAACACACATAGCTTACTGTGACGTTCAGGCGTCTGTGTTTCAGTGAGCAAAGTGTCATTGACTTGCCACTGGATTATCTTTCCGTTCTTGTTGAATGAGACAATGTTGTATTGAAAGTCCAATTTGACTTCGTTGGCTCGCAACCAATCCATGCCAAGGATCATGTCGACACCTGACAAAAGTGGCAGGACATACACGCGAACAGTTTCGCTATAGTCCTGTACATTCATGTCGATATGTGTCTGTCCTTTACTTGGAATGACACGATCGTCACCCAAGCGGATGGGACATGACGGTCCTACAACGAGGACGTTGCGTGTCGTAACCCAAGTTTCATCAACAAGGGAAACCGATGCGCCTGTATCGACGAGAATCCTTGCTTCGTCCCCATTCATGTGTCCAGATAACAGTAAATTCTGTTGGAATCTTGGATGGATGGGACAAGCGACAACAAGTTTAGGAGGTCGATAGTACACCCTAAATTTGTTGTGAGCACGTCCAAACCTTTGGGAGTTGGTCCACCAGACGTGGTGCCCTTTGTCCCATGTTGCCAGGATATGCCGTTCGTGAAATCGGCGGAATAACTCTCCTTTCACGATTCGGGTCACCAATTCCACTGATGTGAGTGGGTGCTCTTGGACACAACGGTCCACTATATCCATGATTGCTGGCAATTCTTTGAACGAGCAAGAGATGATAAAAAAAAAATATCTCTCAAGGATTCAATTGAAATGTTTTCAAGTGGGTATAATCGAGCTTTAAAAACATATTTTCATTAATAGAAGAGGCATACAAATAATCGATTTTGCATGATGCAAGCTTCTCTAGCTTTAGCAAAACCTCATCACAAAGGATATAAGCCTCATCTACTCGATCTCGCTCACCAACTTGGTACCCACCCCCTAGTTGGGCTTCTGAAAATCCTTCGAACCCGAAGGGCCCGAACCATCCGGCTTCTTGCCCTGGTTGGGCTTGCCGGAGTTCTTGACGGACTTCCTCCAATGGCACTGATAGGCCTTGTGGCCGAGCTTGCCACAGATGTGGCAGCCCGCAGGAGGCTTATCAGCATCCTGGGGATCCTTGGTATGCCCCGTATCGGGCCTCATGGACTGAGTCCCAAAGGATTCCCCCTTCTGCTGATAGGGCCTCTTCCAAGAGCCACAGCCCCTGGGTGCCTGGGTCCTGCTACCACCCCCCCTAGTGCCTTCGGCACTAGGCTGCTGCTGAGCACGAGTGCTCTTGAGGTCCAGGTACGCACGGAAGTGCACATCCGTGCTGATGACCTGCTCCTTACACTCCTTGTAGGTCTTCCACTGGTGCTCCCCCTTCACCACATGCACACGCTTGATGTGCTCGGGGAGTCCCTTGAAGAACTGGTGGATGACCTCGCTCTCAGGAAGAGCAGTCTTCAGCAGCGACAGAGTTTTCTCAAACTCCTTCGCGTACTCGCGTACAGGCTGGTCACCGCACTGGATATTCTCCAGGCGGCTACGCACCTCGAGCGCCGGGGGCTGAACCAGGAATGCCGTCAGCATGGCCGCTTTGAACTCCTCCCAGCCAAAGGGGCGGCCATTCGCCTCTGCGTGGCGCTTGTTGGCATACACCAACTTGCTCGCAGTGTCGTCCAAGGCAAGGGTCGCAGCGACCACGCGAGCCTCGCTACGCACATTGTGGATGGGCATAAAGCCCTCTGCAATGGAGAGCCAAGTCTCAACGTCAGTTTTGCCATGGACAAAACGAGGCAGGTCCGAAGGGCAGGAGCCAAAGGCATTTGCAGATGGAGTAGGAGGCTCAGCACGTGCTCCAGAAGGAGGAGGACCAGCAGGAGGTGCGGCAGCAGGTGCAGCACGACTGTTAGTGGAGTTGGCGACACGTTCAGATGCAGGAGCAGGCTGATAGGAGTTGCCACGCCGGAACTCCCTGTACTGAGCCTGAAGCTGAGAGATGTGAGTCTCATGCGTCTTGAGCTGATCTTGCACGAACTTGAGAGTGGCGTGCAGGTCCTCAATGAGGCTGGAGGTGGTGTTTTCCTTAGGGATCAACTGCACCTCCTTGTTCAGCTTCTCAATCAAGGCTTGAAGCTTAAAAGAATCAGCCTCCAAGTTCTGGATGCGGCACCGCTGCTCCCCAATGAGAATATGCTGCTTCGTGAGTTGAGTCTGGAGCTTGACAGCAATGTTTCCAGTCTCGTTGGAGACACCCTCATCAGAGCCAGCCTCATCCTCATTTTCAGCTTCACTTCCATTGATCTCCATGTCAACCACGAAGTCATCAAGGTTGAGATCAATGTCAGCAGCAGCAGCAGCATTATCTCCTTCATTGCCAACAATAGGCACCTCCTTGGTAGCATCCATCTCTTGACCAGAAGCCATGAAACAGGTTAAGGAGAGGAGATCTCAACAGATATGAGAATAATCTTTAAGAACTCTGATTACTCTTGTAGAATAATCCAATACAGAATCTCTTAAGTTTGACTTGTTTGCAAAATCTCTCTATCACCTCAATGATAGAGCAAGATATACTCAAGAGAGTAATCCTCAAAAAGTCCTTGTAGATCTGAAGATAAACTCTTCCACCAAAGGTAGATCAAGAGTCTTCCACCAAAGGTGGGTAAGAGAAAAAATATTATCTTCAAATTTCTTCCCAATGTTGATGAAGAAGAGGAGCTCCTTGTAGATTTTGTAGCTCCAATGGTGGTTTGAAAAAGTTGAAGATTGAAGATTGTAGATCTTGAAGATGCACTTGTAGATCTTGAAAATCTCCTCGAAGTCTTCAAAATCTTCACAGCTCCTTGGATGAACTCCTAAATCCACAATCGAGGATCTAAAAAAAAAAAAAAAAAAAAAAAAAAATCCAAGTAGCAAATGGCCACACAAGGCCAAGGAAGAACCTTGCTCTGGATACCAATGTAATGCCAAGCCCCTTATAATAGAGTTTACAATGGTTATATAGATCCCAAGTACAATGGTAAACTCTATCTATGCCTCTAAGGAGATCTTGAGTTGTTGTAGGAGAGTCTTCTTGAAGCTCTTGATAAGAAACACTTGAAAAGAGCTGTGTAGGGAGTTGTGTGAGAGAGCTCAACGACTTAGGCAAAATAATCACATTTCCAATTGATTAGTTGGAGTGGGAGGTGAAGAATGAGCTTGGAAGCTCAAACCCCCTCAATACACCCCTTTGGGAACTCTCCCAACCATGGGTTCCATGGTGGGACGGTCCTTAGGCTTGTAGCCTATGTGGCAATTAGTTGGGTTGGGAAAACCCAACCTAGAACCATTGAATGGTTGTTTTTAAGATATAGTAGATTGTTACATTGAACTGGCAGTTTGTGATTGGTTGAAAATCCAACCTTCAATATTCCCTTGGTTGGTTTGTAAAAGTTCCAAGCCTCAATGTTGAGGGTTGGACAAACCTAACCAGCCCTTCCTTCCCAACCCTTCCTTCCCAACCCCAACTACAATCTCCCGCAACTCAATCTTCATCGAGCTCATTCTCGATGGTTGCCTTAGGAGTGAAGTAGGTCGACAGGTAGGAGTAGGTGGGCCATGCGTTTTAGACATCACCGTTTTACTTCGGTATGTTGGAAAGGACTCTAGAGAGTTACTTCAGTGGGATGTCGTTACTTTGAACCAATACGCCACTGACTGTCTGTCATGTCCAGCGAGCAGAAAATTAGGAGGAGGTAGCGAGTAGAAAGAACATTTTAAGCTAAAACGCTAGCTGATTCACGTTAAATTCTTTAAAATCGGAGCTCTTCACTAAGCAGTGGTTATAACACGCCAGATTATTTGCTGCTCGCTGGAGATGACAGACAGTCTACTCCGGAGGGATGTTGGTACTTTGAATCAATGCGCCACTGCGAAACCTCTACATCGGGACAGACGAGGTCGTGCGTGCGTGCACGTCGCTGTAGAGAATCTAAACCCTTACACGCGCGAATCAGGAAGGCGTGAACATCATGCTGAGGGCGCGCCGCTGTGTCGCGTATAATATCGTTATGGACAGGCGGCTGTGTCGCGTAGCATGCAAACACGACCCTCCATGGAATCAGCGAAACCAACCAGGGTGAGGAGGGGGTATGGAGGGCGTGGTCATGTTCGTTCGTTTAGCGCAAATGGCAGAGTTTTCTGGAAACAGATGACTCATCAGCAGTGTTCGCCAGAACACAAAATTTTGAAAGAAATATGACGGCATCGGAATGGCAACGAAATCAGGAACCGAGGGAGGAAACCGCCGAAGAGGTTTGGGCGGGATGTCACTTCGCGAAATTTCGGGTCCTGAAATGGGAATTGTGGCAACGGGATCAGGAACCCCCATCACCATTGCTTGACCGGGGGCCCAAAACTACTGGACTAGGGTAAAAATAAAAATGAAAAAATGAGCCAGCTCGAGGTGTATTCGAGAGGGGAAAGTTGGGTGTAAACGAACCCCCAATTCTCACACATTTGGCTCTGGTTGTGGTTACCCTCTGATCTCCAATCACATCGTCATCCCATCGCAATTCACCGTGAAAGGGTGAATTGCGATGGGATGGCATGACGAGGGATGTTTTTGTGAGAATAATACGAGGAATGATTAAATTAGGAATGAAGGAGGATACAAGTAGGAAACCCTAAGTTGTGTCCCCTCTAAGGTAAGCCCCGCTACAGCCTACAAAGTAGAAACATGTAATGATTGACACACCCCCATAGGCAAAGTGGGGGAGAACAAGAGGTCACAAGACCAGTCAAGCAAAGCAAAGCAAGCTCAGGGTGGATCACGACGTCACCACGCATTCTGAGCACAAGGAAGTGGCCACAAGGCCAGTTCACATGCAGAGTTATATAAAGGAGAAAAGCAATACAGTGATCACAACCTAGTAAGTGCAAGCATGCAGGTATATGTATAGAGATCACAGTACAAGCAGAGTCAAGAATTAAGCAAGTGAGGCACAGTAGGCACAAGGCCTAGAACAGTACAGAAACGCTGATGATCACAAGGCTGAAGAGCCTTGGTGAACACATCAGCAGTGTTGGCCTGAGTGGCCACGTAAGTAAGACGAAGCTGACCACGCTGCTGCAACTCTCGAGCAAGGAAGTAGCGCAAAGCGATGTGCTTCGTTGTCGACGTACAGCACTGGAGGAGAACGAGGCGGCTCTCCAAGGTCGGTCAGCAGGTAGGTGAGCCAGCGTAACTCCTGTGCAGCCATGGCCCCTGCGTAGATCTCAGCCTCACAACTGGAGCTGAGAACAGAAGACGAGCGGGTAGACCGCCAAGAAACAGAGCCGGAGCCAAGGCTGAAGTTGTAACCCTGTGACGACCGCTGCGTAGCCAAGTCGTCAGCCCAAGAAGCGTCTGCGTGACCAGTGAGGACAACAGGAGCCCGTCCTCCAAGCACGAGCCCCATGCCCGACATACTGCACAAGTAGCGCAACACCCTCTTAGCAGCATCCATGTGCTCCTTCCTGTGACGGCCAGGAGCGATATAGCGTGCTAGGATGCTAAGAGGGTAGGCTAGGTCAGGTCGAGTGCAGGTCATCAGGTACATGAGGCAGCCCACAAGCTCTGGATACGGGCCACTCGGCTCTACGGACTCGTCCAAAGGTGGAGCTGAGAGCGAGTGACCGGTAGGCAGAGGAGTGGACTGTGGCGAGGAGTACGTGAAGCGGAAGCGCTGAAGGACCTGCTGCACCATGTGTGACTGAGTCAAGGTAATGGTGCGCTGTGCTCTGTCCCGGGTGATCCGCAAGCCAAGATAGCTTGTCAGCTCACCCAGGTCTGTGCACGTGTGTCTCTTCTGCAGCTCCGACTTCACGTGGGCGAGTGCCTCAGTGTCAGCAGTAGGAAAGACCAGGTCGTCTACGTACACGACAACGTAGAACGGCGGCAGAGTGGTGTCGGTGCGTAGAAACAGCGACGGGTCAGCAGTAGAAGGAGCAAACCCAGGAGCAGCAAGAGTCGTCCTCAGTGTGTCGTGCCACTCACGAGGTGCCTGGCGGAGACCGTAGACTGGCCGCCAGAGGCTCCACTGGGTACTAGGAGGAAACGACCCAGTGAAGCCAGGTGGGCGGCGCAGCCAGATCTCCTCGTGCAGGCTACCCTGTAGGAAAGCAGTGCTGAAGTCAAGAGAGTGGAGCTCATAGTCACGCTGAGCGGCGACGTGCAGCAGAACCCGAAGAGTGGTCATCTTCGGGGTAGGGGAGAAGGTCTGGAAGAAGTCAACTCCCTCACGCTGACTGAAGCCTCGTGCAACGTAACGCGCCTTGAAGACAGGCGGAGAACCCGGCGGCCGCTTCACCCTGAAAATCCACATGCCACTGACGATGTTCGCCCCAGGTGGGGGAACCTCGTCGACGTAGGTGCCTGTGGACTTCCAGGAAGCCATCTCTGAGTCCATGGCTGACTGCCACTGAGAGGAGTAGGGACCCTCTATCGCCTCTGCGTAAGAGCGCGGGGTCGGGATGTCTGGTGCATCCGGGTCTCCCTCAGGGGCAATCAGCATGGACACGAGATGAGGTAAAGCAGCGGCAATGCACTCAAACTCCTCCTGTCTGTCCTCAAGGACGTCCGTGCCAAGAGCACACTCACCCCCGACGGACGGAGGACAGACAGACTCAGACTCAGCAACAAGGCTAGCGGCGTAGTCTAGACGACAGGCGGCAGCAAAGTCAACAAGCTCAGCAACTAGAGCAGACGCTGTAGTGGACTCAAAGGAAGGGTCAGTGACAACAATAGCGAGGAAACGCGTGATAGTAGGACTGGCAGCACGAAGAGAGTCAGACTCCGGGTCCGGACCGTCAGGAAGAGAGGACGCAGGAGGAGACGGCAGAGGGACACGCTGTGGAGCAGTGGAAGGACGCAGAGTCATATAGTGAGTGCCAGGGACAGGAGGAGGACGCTCACGCGGAACACGACGACCAGTGCGGACAGCGCGGACAGGCGACTCTGGATGAGACTCAGGCGACACAGGACGAGACTCAGGCTCACGACGCTCCGTAAGACCTCTAGTCGGTCCAGAGTAAGGAGAAGGACTAGGCAGTGGAGAGGCTGGCTGTAACAGTGACTGCGACTGGACAGGCGGTGGACTCAGTAGGGGAGGAGTAGGACCAGTAGAAGGCGAGAGGCCAAGAACCTGCTGAAGAAGTGGAACGTGGTACGGCCGCGGCCGCGCAGCGCCTCCTGAACCAGCAGAGACAGCACCAGCACCCTCCGCTCCAGGGTCTCCAGCTACAACTCCCGCAGCACCACCAGCTCCAGCAGCTCCAGCACCGCCAGCTCCAACTCCCGCAGCAGCTCCTGTACCTCCAGTACGAGCACCTCCAGGACCAGCGGCTCCAGCAGCTCCAGCACCAGCAGCACCTCCAGCAGCTCCAGC